GCTTTTTTTGTGGTGCTGATGTTTTCTTTGTTCCTTTTACTCTCCTGTGCTGTATTCCTTTTGTTTCTGGATTTTTTTAAATTTCTTTTTGTTTTGTGGGTTTTGTTTTTACTGAGACTTTATGTTTTTTCTCTTTAGTTTTATGAGGTTTCTTAACTTTCTTTGTGGTTACCATGAAATTTACCCTTATCTTTGTAAGTTTGAAGCAGTCTGTTATTACTTGGTATTGCCTTGCCTTCCTCTCCATTAGAAGGTTCGATACCTACACCATTTATTCCCTCTTTTGTTGTTCTGATGTTGTTGTCATTTACAGATTAACTGCTCTGATTCCCTGTTGTACTTCTTTTGGTTTTGGTTAGTCCTTGAGAGTTCATTTCCTAGATTGGTATCTGGCTGGTATGATCCTACGTCCTAGATTTAGCCTGTGAGCTGAAGTTGTTTGTTCTTATATTGAAGGACTCCCTTTAATAATTCTTCTAAGTTTGGTTTTGTTTTTAACATACTCCCTTAATTTCTGTTTATCTGGAAATGTCTTAATTTCACCATCATGTTTGAATGAGAGGTTTGCAGGATACATTATTCTTTGCTGGCAGTTTTTTTCTTTCAAAGTTTTATTTATGTCATCCCATTGCCTCCTTGCTTGCGTGGTTTCTGCGGAACAATCTGAGCGTAGTCTTATTGTTTCTGCTCTGTATGTGACTTCTTGTTTTTCTCGAGCTGCTCTCAGGATTCTTCGCGTTTGGTTTTAGCGAATGTGATTATGATATGCCTTGGTGATTTTCTTTGGGGTCTATCCTATATGGGGGTCGTTGAGCTTCTTGGATGGTCAGCTTTTCATCTTTCATGATATTGGGGAAATTTTCTGTCAGGAGTTCTTCAGTGATCTTCTCTGTGTTTTTTGTTTTCTCCCCCTGTTCTGGAACTCCAATCACTCACAAATTTTTGCTTTTGATTATATCCCACATAATTTTCAGGGTCTCTTCATTTTTCTTCGTTCTTTTTTCTGATTTTTCCTCAGAGTTGTATTCAAGTGTTTGTCTTCAATTTCGCTGATCCTGTCTTCCACCGTTTCATCTGCTCCTCAGTGCTTCTGTGACACTGTCCGTTTCTGAAATCTGGTTATCTTTTGGATTTCTAATTGTTGCTTTTGTAGGGTTTCTAGTTGTGAATTTATTTTAGCATTTTGTTCCTGCATTATTTTCCTGAATTCTTCCTTTTTTATGTCTGTATTTTCCATGAATTTGTCTTTTTTTTTCCTCATTTTTGTCTGCAGTTTGCTTCAACTCTTGGATAATTCTGAGTATTAGAGATTTGAATTTCCTATCAGGTAATTCTAGTGCCTTTTTTTCTACTGGAAGGCATCTGGTGTTTTATTTTGGACACCTACTAGAACCATCCTGTCCTGTTTTTGTAAATGTTTTGATATTGTCTGTTATCTTTGGGGCATTCAGTAGTTATTTTTCTCGTTTAGTGATTGTAGATTTGTTTTTTTCGTTCTGTTTTTTTGTTTTATTTGGTTATGTGTGAACAGGCAATCTGTGTGTTTTCTTGTTTGTTCGTCTGTGGGCGCAATACTTTTTGCCTCCTCCAATTGGCAGGGTCAGTCGCTCAGATATGGTATAGTAGGGCAGGTCTAGCTGAAGAGGAGTTGCTGGGATGGGTGGTTTGTGGTGACCTGGGTGGGCTGGTAATCAGTGCAGGGCAGGTTCCGGTAAGCTGTGCCCGTGTTGCTTGGTGGTATGATGTTGAGCGCACGGTGCAGGTATGCAGGATAGAGGGGTGAGATTGTGATGTGTGGAGCTAATGTGGGTATGGGAGAGAGGAGAGAGGAACAGGAGCCAAAAACTTAGAAACAAACAAAAAGAGTGCTAGGGGAGCTCCTCGTTGGAGTGGAGAGATAAGAGACTATGAAGTGGAGAAAAAGAAAAAGGAAAAAATGAAGAAGGAAAAGAAATGAAAAAAATGAATAAATAAAAATTAGAAAAGTAAAGCTCCCAGGGTTCCCACCGGTGCAGCTACGAGGTCTGGGGAAGTTTCTCCCAGGCGTTGAAGTACAGCCTGGCTAGAAGGCATAGAGGTGGCACTCAGTGCCAGGTATTCAGTGGACAGGAAGAGTAGGACGGTATAGAGACAAGAGAAACTGAGTAATGAAGAAAGAAAAATGGGAAAGAGAGGGAAAAGAAAATAAATTGAATAATAAAAAAAAAAACATGAAAAAAGAAATTCCCTCAGAGATCCCTGCGCGTCTGTGCAAACGGGGTAGGTCCGAAGCCGCGCAGTACTGCCTGGCTAGAACGGGCTCCCAATTCGAGAAAAGAAAAAGAAACAGTTCAAAACAAACAAACCAGAAAAGGCCCGGGATCCCACCAGCATGGCAGCACAGACCGAGAAGCAGTTTCACATTCGAGCGGAGTTGCACAGCCTTTCAGGAAGAAGCAAAGATGGCGCACAGAGCCAGGTATTTGAGTGAAAGGAGGAGGAGGTGGTGAGAGGTTAAAAAGCAACACCAGCAGCCAACAAATGGTACTCAGGGAGTTGGCCCATTTGGGCAGGTGGAATCAAAGTAGCTGGTGCTTCCAGGCCAAGAGACTGTGGCTGTGGGAAGCAGAGGAGGCCGAGTGGGGAGTGAAGAAGGGTGGGGGGTGGGAAAGCGTCTGTTGCTGGTTACCGGTTGTTCTGTGTTTTGCTGGAAGCTCTGTGAAGCTGCTTTCTTGTACCCCATGTTCGCTGGTCTCTGATAGGGGTCCAACATGGCAGATCCGTGCTTTGTTAGCTGTTAGGGGACCTCTGCATGTATCTCTTCTCTCTCTGTTCTCTGTCAGTTTCTTATTCCATTTGGTACTTGGCTGAGTTGTTTATCTCTTTGTTTGGTGCTTAGGGTTTCAGGATTGCTGTTTTCTGTGTTTGGCTTAGTTTTCCAGATCTTTGCTATGCAGGGACGGTGTGGTGCTTCTGCCTAGAACGCCATGTTGCCTGGAAGTCGGGAAAATTTTTGGCGATGACAAATCCAGTATCTATTCTCTGAAATCTACAAGATACTGCCAAACCTCAACAACAAAAAGACAAACAACCCAGTTAAAACATGGGCAAAGAATATGAACAGGCACTTGGCCAAGGAAGATATTTTAGGCAGTTAAGAGACACGTGAAGAAATGCTCACTATTATTAGCTATTAGAGAAATGCAGATCAAAACTACAATGAGATATCTTACCCCAACAAGGCTGTCATTAATGCAAAACACACAAAATAATAAATGCTGGAGAGGTTGTGGAGAGACTGTAACACTTAGACACTGCTGGTGGGAATGTAAAATGGTATAACCACTTTGGAAATCGATTTGGCGCTTCCTTAAAAAGCAAGAAATAGAAGTACCATATGATCCAGCTATCCTGCTCCTTGGAATATATCCTAGAGAAACGAGCTGTCACACGAATAGGTATATGCACACCCATGTTCATTGCAACACTGTTCACAATAGCAAAAAGATGGAAACAGCCTAGGTGCCCATCAACGGAAGGATGGGTAAACAAATTATGGTATATGCACACAATGGAATACTATGCAACAACAAAGAACAACGATGAAGCCATGAAACATAACGTGGAGGAAGGTGGAAGTCATTACGCTGAGTGAATTTAGTCCCAAAAGGACAAATATCATGTAAGACTACTATTGTAAAAACTCAAAAAAAGATTTAAACACAGAAGAAAACATTCTTTGATGTTTACGATGGTGGGGAGGGAGGGTAAGGGTTATTTACTAACCAGATAGTAGATAAAAATTAGGTGAAGGGAAGGAAAGCACACACGACAGGGGAAGTCAGCACAGCTGGGCTAAACCAAAGCTAAGAAGTTTCTTGAATATAGTCAAACACTTTGAAGGACAAAGTAGTAGGGATAGGGGTCTGGGGACCATGATTTCAGGGGACATCTAGGTCAATTGGCATAACAAAGCTTATTAAGAATATGTTGTGCATCCTACTTTGGTGAGTGGCGTCTGGGGTCTTAAAAGCTTGCAAGCGGCCATCTAAGATGCATCAATTGGTCCCAACTGCCTGGAGTAAAGGAGAATGAAGAACACCAAAGACACAAGGAAAGTATTAGTCCCAGAGACAGAAAGGGCCACATAAACCAGAGACTTCATCAGCCTGAAACCAGAAGAACTAGATGGTGCCCCGCTACCACCAGTGACCGCCCTGACAGAGAACACAACAGAGTGTCCCTGATGGAGCAGGAAAAGTTGGGGTGCAGAACTCAAATTCTAGTAAGAATACCAGACTTAATGGTCCGACTGAGACTGGAGGAACCCTGGAAAGCTTGGCCCTTGGATTCTCTATCAGCCCAGAACTAAAACAATTTCTGAGGCCAACTCTTCAGACGGGGATTGGACTGGACTGTGGGACCTAAATTGATACTCATGAGGAGTGTGCCTCTTAGCTCAAGTAGATACAAGAGACTAAACGTGCAGCTTCTGTCCAGAGGTGAGATGGGAAGGCAGAGTGGGTTAGGAGCTCGTTAAATGGACATGGGGAATCAAGTGGAAAGGAGGAGTGTGCTCTCAGAGTATGGGGAGAGCAATTAGAGTCACATAACAATGTATGTATAAATTTTTGTATGGGAAGAAATAAAAAGAAAAATTTCTGGGGAGATTGAATTTTTTTCATGTCTCTATTTGCTGTTCTGAGGGTTTTTTAATTTGTTGTTATCTTTGCCTGATTTAATACTTTATATCTTCATGCTTTTGTTATCAATAATGTCCTTTACATATTAAGAAAATGAATGTTTTGTCTTTTATTGCACATATTTTCCGAATTTGACCATGCCTTTCAATTTTTTTTCCTCTTTTATTTTGGGGGGGGGGTCTTATAAATTTTTGGTTTTCTTTATATGTTTATATCTTTCTCATTTTCTTTTTGAAGACTTAATTTTAACAGCAAGATTCTAAATATTTGCTTTGGAGTAACCAACACAAAGTAAAGTTAAATTTTCTTTGATTGCAGATCTGGGACTTGGCTAGTGGCAAATTAAAACTGTCTTTGACGGGGCATATCAGTACAGTGCGTGGTGTGATCGTAAGCACAAGGAGCCCATACCTGTTCTCTTGTGGAGAAGACAAACAAGTAAAATGCTGGGATCTTGAATATAATAAGGTAAGCTTAGGGTTAGGGATTTAAAACATTTAGCCAGTGTTTATCTTTCTGTTTGTAGAAATTTGAACTTTTCTGCTTTCTCTTTAGGTTATAAGACACTATCATGGACATCTAAGTGCCGTCTATGGTTTGGATTTGCATCCAACAATAGATGTGCTGGTAACCTGTAGTCGAGATTCAACTGCACGGGTAAATAGGAAAGAGTTGTGTGTTATCTGTAAATATGTTACATCTTACAGTACACAGATTTAGTATTGGTGTCATATATTGTTTGATAGAGAACTAAAAATTGTTGTCTTGACTCATCAGTATCCTACTCCCTCAGTTACTTGACCCATACATTTTTCCACCTTAGTCCTCATTCGTGTAGCCATGCCCTCACCATGTGTATTGTTGGGAGTGCCTCACCCCTAAGATGTCACATTCTCACCCTCCAGTCTATCCCCACAACTATTTTCCCTTATTAGCTCTTTCAGTCAGTAGTCCCACTCTACCCGTTCTTACATATATATAGTCCCCTGATCCTTCAGCTTTTTTTTTTCCTGTCATTTGCCTCCTATCTTTCCATTCTCCACCCAGCTTATAGATCATTATCCCTCATGTAACACTTTCTTCATTATATTCAGGCACAGTTGTCTAGTAAATTCCCAGCCTTGGATTGATCCACTTAAGTCTGCCTGGAATATGAATCCCTGTTCTCTTTGACAGTGTATCTGTTGTGCTTTTATAGATTTGGGACGTAAGAACTAAAGCCAGTGTGCACACTTTATCTGGACATACAAATGCAGTTGCTACAGTGAGATGTCAAGCTGCAGAACCACAGATTATTACTGGTATGAGAGATACTTCCCAAGTTTATAACATGTTCATGTCAGGATGTATCATAATTATACATGTACTTTGTATCTTCACTATAATTCTTGCTTTGTATTGTATTCGTTTCTGTGTCATATTTTAATCACAGGCATTTGAAATTTATTATAGTCAGACTTCAGTTTTTATTTCATACCTTTTACAAATCAGTGTGTCATACACAGTGTCTTGTAGTGTCTGACTGAAAAATGGTGTCATTAGTTACAATTAAGCATTGTTTTATAGTGTAAAAATTCTAGTGTAGGAAATTGAAGTTAGAAGATAAAATATCCTGTGATCAGTGACATTTAGAGCTTGTATTGAGTCTTGTTTTTCTTAAAATAAGATTAATAACAGTGAATCTTTAAAAATAGAAAATAATTTCTTCATTTGTTGTATTTTATTAACTAAAGAATCATTGGAGTTTTTTCTTTCCACTCTGCCAGGGGTAAAGTGATGTGTTTGTTTCATTTGCTATTTGCATTTGTTCTATTTGGTTGACATTGCTTCAAACTTTGTATTATATTTTTTAAAGAATTAAATTTAAATCAACATAGATTTCTGGAGCTATAAAGAAATTAGCCAAGAGGTAACATGACTTTCATTTAGTATATATGTGTCTGAAAGAATGCTTCATAATTTATTACATTGTAACTTCACTGTCTTTTTCCTGATGTATGTTTGGGTTGTGTTTGTGTATTTTCATTATAGGAAGCCACGACACTACAATACGATTATGGGACTTGGTGGCTGGAAAAACAAGAGTCACACTAACAAATCACAAAAAATCAGTCAGGGCTGTGGTTTTACATCCAAGACAGTAAGTAAAAATCATCATATTTAATGAGATAATATAAATAAACCATGGTTGAGTGGACTTAATAGTGGTTGCGTTTAATGTTTTTGGATTATACTACACATAAGTGTTATTGAATACTGAGATATACATAGAATAATTCTTAAGGAGAAGGTTAATATATGTAGGGGAAAAAAATAGTAGGAGCCATGAAAATACAGTCATGGTGTCCAAAGAGGTTGAGCATAATATTACAGCCTATTGTTTGGTCTGTCAGATCACCTCTCACACATTTCTGTACATATTCATTTCTTTTCTCCGTTTCTTTCCTCCTCTCCCTTGTTCTCATTCCCTCTCTCCCTTACTCTCTCTTCCTCTCTCCCTCTGTCCTTTGCCTTCTCTCCCCTTCTTCTGTTCCCCCCACCCCCGCCAATTATGTGAAGTTACGTGTTTTCACCTTTTGCACGTTTATTTCTCCAGCTCAGTGCAGAGCTGTGGAGAAATGAGAATAAAACATTAATCTGGAATTTAAAATGCACTTGAAATAATCCAAAAATCAAATTTAACTTGGAACAAATATCTTGATATTTTATCGTTGGTATGACTTTAGTGATATTAACGCCACATACATCAGTGAGTGCACATTGCAAAATTACAACTATAATAGGCTTTTAAAATTCGCCATTATATTTAGCTTGGTTTACTTTGTCATTCTTTTTCATCTTTTTTCAGTTACACATTTGCATCGGGTTCTCCAGATAACATAAAACAGTGGAAATTCCCTGATGGAAGTTTCATTCAAAATCTTTCTGGTCATAATGCTATTATTAACACATTGACGGTGAATTCTGATGGAGTGCTGGTATCTGGAGGTAAAATAAGATTTTTATGTTAAATATGTTGCTTAGTCTTTTTTTTTTTTTTTAATGAAAGAGTAAATATTTTTGTGAAAATTTTAAGCCATCACACTAAGTATTAGAGCAGAACTTACCAGAGTAGTGTGTATTTGGCTGATCATATATACATCCTGCCTAATCATAACACATGTTTGGGTTTACACCGGGAATCGCCTTGAGTTGGGTAGCCTAGAAGTGGTTGTCAGATTTTGTGATGCTTTTTCAGATCTATATAATAAGTTTTGAATTAAGCAAAAAGAAAGGAAGCAAACCAATATTAAGAGAAGCTTGAGTGCTTGTGTCTTAAATGTCTTTATAACTGCTAGTTATTGTCCTGGTGCTTGGCGTTTAATAAATGTCAGACTGGATTGTTAAAGGAATACCAGGTTTAACTAGATCTTTCCCTTTAAGCTGATAATGGCACTATGCATCTTTGGGACTGGAGAACTGGCTATAATTTCCAGAGAGTTCATGCAGCTGTGCAGCCTGGGTCTTTGGATAGTGAATCAGGAATATTTGCTTGCGCTTTTGATCAGTCTGAAAGTCGATTACTAACAGCTGAGGCTGACAAAACCATTAAAGTGTACAGAGAGGATGATACAGCGGTAAGTTCTGTTTCACATATACTTTTAAATGAATCAACCATACCAATTTTGCAAGTGTTTTCTCATTTTCAAGTTATTAAAATTAGCAGAAGAAAAAGTATAATATTAAGGTATTTGTTACCTTGGGTAGTGACTCCTCAGAGATTTTTGTACTGTCGTCATTTAAGCCATTGAATCCATAGATTTAATTTTATTCCAACTTTCCTTTTGACAGTCTTTGAGAAAATCTTGGCACTCAGAATAGCAGCTTATGAATAAAGCTATGCAATTCTAGAACCATAAGCTTTGGTGTTACTAGAATATTTAATTAGCAGTTTTATTTTAGATGAAATACCTTAAACTGAACTTGCAGTGAACCTACTCACCGTTTTTATTAGAGCCTCAGGTAATACCAAAAGATTCAACTATTCCTGAAATTGTTAGAGAACAGCTATGTGTATAATGCCGAGAGAGGTGATCTAGAATGGATACCTTGACTTTATTAGAAGTCTATTAAAGTGAGGCAAACTAATCATTTATTTTAACTTATTCTCTATTTTTAGACAGAAGAAACTCATCCAGTCAGCTGGAAACCAGAAATTATCAAGAGAAAGAGATTTTAATGTAGCATTGTCTTCACGGTGGTTCCGCCTTTTCCCCCCTTACCTTGGCTTGGATGAGGATACCCAGTCACTGTGTGCTCTGACTGGGAGTATAAAGCAGAGACTTACTTGCTCAAATCATTGCCGGGTCATCACATGTTACAATAAATTGCTCCCTGCCCTCCCCCTCCCCCAGTGTTTTTATTTCTGAAATAAACCATTTTTGATCCTAGGAAGTAAGGTGCAGATATCACGCATATGCACGTCCATTGAACAGAACTATTCTAAAGATAAAAAGATTTTTTCAGTTTTGTTAGGAGACTTTTTTTTTAATTTACAAAACTGATTATTATCATAGGACATGTTTTGAGGGGAGCAGAAGTTTAAAAAAAGTTTTTTGAACTGATATCTGTGTGGTAATTTGGGATTTGAAGATTTGAAATCTTAAGTATGTTTATTCCAGAAATAGTTCTTGAGTGCATGTTCTGCCAAGTTCTGCACTAGATCCTGTTGAGAAATAGATAACGCCTGTCCTCCAAGATAACCAGTTCGGTAGCTTGTTGTAGACATGCTGTAACAGAGGTGCGAGTGAAATCCTGGGGGAGCACAGAAGCAAAAACAATGAGTTTTTTATGGGCAGGACTGTGGAGGACTTCACAGGGTAGGTGGCCTTTGAGATGAGCCTTGCAGTGAAGGAGGGCCGAGAAAGAAATGATTATTCGAAGATGTGGCATAAAGGAATGAAACCAGAGATGGCAGAGTGTGTTGTGGTGTGTTGTAGAAGCAAAGAGTTGTCTACTCTAGTTGAGTAATGGAGAATAAAGCTGACTAGTGGAGGGAAAAATTTCAGATTTTGAATTTTGACTTTATTCCACAAACAGGATATTAATGTAGGTGTTGAAACTTAGGGAAAATAACTCTGGAGATAACGTTGGAGGCATTTGAATATGTAGCAAGGGCTGGACTCTCGTGGAGATTTTATAGAAAAGTGTTATTTAAATTTCTAATACTTATTCTCCAAATAAATACTTTATGCTTGGAATCCTGATTCTGCATCACTCAAGATTTTCTCACACCTCATTTTCTGTAGTTAAACAGTTACAAGAGCAGTTTTGAAACTTTCAAAATTAAGTTGTGCCATGATTTTGAATAAGCATTTTCAAATTATACATAGCCTATCTTTCATGCTGTAGGTGGTAATATATAATTGTTACAAGTCTTAGCAGTGTAGTTTTATGGGGTTTATTGAAAATGCTCAAGCCTTAGGAGACAGACTTCTAGGTAACTGCCCACTGGGAACAATCTGGTAAGAGAACACAGAAAGTTCATTGCACCTTTGTGCTTAAATAATTGCAAGTAACCCAAATGTCCCATCAACAGAGATTGGTTTAATAGATTATAGTACCTGCATACAATTTATTTCTGTGTATTGGTTAAGAGGGTGAGGAGTGTCTGGACTATTATGCTTAATTGTCCAAACTTTACTATTATGTAAAAAAATAGTTGTTCAAGCATTTTTGTAAAGTAACTTGTTAATGCTCTAAAAATACTGGAGAAATAACGTCATATCGTTATCAGTGGTTTTGTGAGGAAGTGACGTGGAAGAACTTTCATGATCTGCTTTATATATTTCTATAATGTTTTAATTTTCTATAAGCATGTATTTTGTAAACCTAAATAAAGATGAAAAAACACTAGCATCCCTGAGAGATTCTAATATGCTTCCTAACAAGAAAAATAGAGGTGAATAGTGTCCCGCTCCTAAGGGCCAAGAGGAAATGACTAGTACAAGGAGATGAGAAAAATAACTATTATCCCACTTCAAATAGGGTTAACCAAAATCTCTTACTCTGCCTGTGCCATATCTACACTGAAACTGTAAAGTGATATCAGAGAAAAACAGCTGTGCTAGTGGGATTCAATTTTGATTTGTGACGGCAAACTTCAAGTGGGCCTTCTGCAATAAGCGAGTGCACATTCCTGTAGTTTATGCATTCTGCCTCGTTACAAAGGACAAACTCACCCTGTCAAGAATAATTCTTCCATATGTACAGTTGTTGCCGTACGTTCTTGTCTACTCAAAGACTTCCACAATTAACCGTTTTCTCCACTGCACCATTAATGTCCTCTCTTTATACCAGAGTATTACAGCATACACATATGTTGTACTTGCTCATCTTAAATTACTAGACCTATGTTCTGTAAGTGTGCACTCATTTCACCCTTCCCTTTTATAACTAAATTCCTTAAAAGAATCCTCATATTTCATTTCCCATTCTTCACTTACTATTCTCTCAACCCATCCCATTAGAAAAAAATAATGAAAATGTGTTAAAGTAGATAAAACTATTTAGATAATCCAATTAAGAAAAAAATAGAAAAATCAAATACCCTAATGAAAAAGGAGACGGGGTAAGTAAAAAAAATTAAGGTGAAACTGAGTCCAGTTCAGTGCCGTTTAAATACCTGTTGCTAGGTGCCATCGATTTGGTTTTGACTCATAGAGACCCTACGTACAACAAAAAGAAACACCACCTGGTCCCACGCCATCCTCACAATCCTTATGCTTCAGCCGATTGTTGAAGCCACTGTGTCAATCCATCTCAATGAGGGTCTTCCTTTTATTTGCTGACCGTCTACTAAGTGTGATGTCCTTCTCCAGGGACTGGTCCCTTCTGACAACATGTCCGAAGTATGTGAGATGAAGTCTCGCCATCCTTGCTTCTAAGGAGCATCCTGTCTGTATTTCCAGGTTTTCTTATCCCTATCCCCTTGCTCTTACTAAGAAAGTACCTTGTCTTCTTATAATTTGTTATTATCACATAGACCATAAGGGTCAATTCCCCACTGATTCAAAGACTACTCTGGCAGAAGAGTAAGGCAAATATTCATGCCATCACCTGAATTCTGCAAGCATTTCTAATTGGCCCTAAGTAAGATTGGTTCTTTCTAGCAATGCTCTCAGTCTGTACACCTCCCAGCTATTCAAGCTTGCTGCAGCTACCACCACCAGTTGGCCAAAGAGTTGATTCCAACTCATATTCAAGTTTATATGTAATATATTTTTAAATTTATCATCTGTCTAAATTTACTTTGATGCTAAAGAAATGCATATTCATAGATTAATATCTGTTACTTGGATTCCTCTCAATTTTTTAAGGATATGGAGGTTTGGGAGATTTTAGGAGAAGAGAAACTGATTTGAGGATACCTGCTTATTTGTTGAACACATTTTTGATGAGTTCATATACAGCTCATACTTGACAGGTATTTTAGAAGATATCCCAAATTATGGTACGTGGTCTCCACTCTCCTAGCTGCAATTGTAATCAAGGAACAAGATAGCAAATGCTTATACTAGGATTAAGTAAGAATATGAAAGATTTCTTTCCACCAGAAGGATAAAATTCAGTGTTAAAAGGATGTTACATACCATGAGTGCTCCAGGAGAGGGAGGATAGTGTGTTCTAGAATGGCAGTCTTTGTGAAGGAGCTGAGTTTTAAGACTGCTTTGAAGGATAGGGAACATGTAGGCAGATGGACAAAGTGGAAGTGGGAATGAGCAGATGAACCTGGTCTTAACTCAGAGTCCCTGGGTGATGCAAACAGTTAATGCTCTTGGGTTCTTATTGAAAGGTGGGAGGTTTGCATCCACCCAGAGGCACCTCAGAAGAAAGAACTGGTAATCTACTTCTGAAAGATCGGTCATTGAAGCCCTATGGAGCACAGCTCTACCCTGACACACATGGGATCACCATGAGTTGGAATTCACTCTACAGGAACTGGTTTTTTGGTTTCGTTAGCTCTCCAGCTGATGAAGAAGGACCTGAAATTTTAATTGGTTTGGTGGGGGACCTGTGACTGAGAAGGGAGGGGGAAAAGGGCAGTGACTTCTTAAAGGGTAATTACTGAAAGGAATGCTAAATCATTCTACAGTGGAACACACAGACACAGGAGTAGTTAAAGCCAGGAATTAATATGAGGATGTCTGTTCTCTTTAATATAGTTCTGGGAGTTTGAGCTCCCAGGATACAAAAAGGATAAGAAATAAGAAATATCAAATTATAATGATTTGTAGATAAGGGATATAAAACAAGCAACAGAAAAACTGTTAAAACTAATGCAAGTGCCCTGTAAGATTACTCCATACAGGATAAATGCAGTACATGAAAATTAATAGTTTTCATGATAACAGCAATGAGTAGTTTGATATGTCTCAAAAATAGTCACTTACATGATATGAACAAACCTATAAAATATTTAAGATTAACTTTAATAGGAAATGTGGAAGTTCTAGATAAAAGAACAAAAACTATATTGAAGGTATTTTAAAAGTCTTAATGAACAGGAATACACACTGTGTCCCTGAGGGAAAAGACTCAATGTTTTAAATATGCTGCTCCTGTAAAGGAGCCCTGGTGGTGCAGTGGTTAAAAGCTTAGGCTGCTAACCAAAAGGTCAGCAGTTGGAATCCACCAGCCGCTCCTTGGAAAACCTATGGGGCAGTTTTACTCTGCTGTATAGGGTCGCTATGAGTTGGAATCGACTCGATGGCAATAGATTTGGTTTGGTTTGGTTCCTGTAAAATTTAACATATAAATTTAATATGATTTCAATTAGACTTTCAGTGAGTTTATTTAAAGAACTTCACAAATTGATAACAAAGTTTATGTAATAAAGTTATTGAAATATTTAAGAAATTTTTGAAAGAGTAGAACCATGAGAAGTGGGGGTGTCTGTTCTGTCAGGTGTAAAAAGCATAAAACTAGGTAATTCAAGGAAGAATTAGTGTAGTAGTAAGTTATGGTTCATGAATATTTTGGCATAGGGAATACTATGCTGCTGTTTTAAAAACAGAGTAGATTTGAATGTGCGGATGTGGATTGTGGCCACAATAGATAGCAATAAATAAATAAAGTTGCAGGAACGTGCTAAATAAATATATAGAGACCGTTATGGATTGAATTGCGTCCCTGAAAAAGATATATTTAAGTCCTAACCACTATAGCTGTGATTGTGACTTTGTTTGGGGAAATATTTTTTTTTTCTGCAGATCAGCTAATGATCTCATTCCAGAGTAGGGTAGCTTCTAGTCACTTCTGAATGGTGTCTTATAAAGGCAGACACACACGGGGAAGCACCATGTGAGGTTCATCTGTAGGCCAAGGGATGGCAAGAAACGTCTGTGGCTGCAGAAGCTGAAAGAGGCAAGGAAGTGCCTTCTATGGCTGACAGAGAGGGTGAGCATAGCCCTGCTGATGTCCTGAATTTGGACTTCTAGCCTCCAGGACAGAAAATAAATTTCTGTTCTTTAAAGCTTTTAAAGCCTTGTGGTATTTTGTTATGGCAGCCCTAAGGGGTTAGACAATAGACTTTCTTAAAGGTGGTTGGTTGAATGAACATATGCATCTCATACAAAACACCAGTTTTAAATGCAAATATAAGAGCATTTAGCTCATATGTGAAATACCAAAACTATACTTTTGTAATTTCATAGCTCATACATACACACGTATTTTGTATGTATGTTTTCACCAGAGCAATGGAAATACTGCACAAAACTCACTCAACTGTTTTTCTTTTCTTTGTTGGTACATGCACATTCTACCAAAACTCTACCTTGGCTCACAGAGGAGTAAGAAGGAAAACTGAAGGGAAAAGGAACTGTGGTTGTCCTGTCTTTTCTTTTCTTTCCATGTCATCATTTCCAGCAAAAGTGGTTGGTTAATACAGGAAAGTAACACGAGAAAGAAAGGCTATGAGACACACCCTTGGTTGTTTGTGTTTCTTAGAATGGCATTGCCCTCTTTCTGCATTTAGAGCCAGTTGGGTCAAATGGTGATATTTCTGTATTCTTACCAATAGGCTACATTGTGATGCACTGGGAGTGTAGGTTCTTTAGAATAAATAGAAAAGATGTCCAGGGTTTTCTTTTGATCACCTGCTTTAGGAGTTACTGCCAGACACCAATAGTGAACATCATAAAATTAGCATACATGTCCCAAAACTATTGGGAGAAATGAGAAGATTCAAGTTTACTTATTATAGTTTTATTGTTGTTGTTAGTTGCTGGTGATATTGGGAGTAAAAATGCATGTAGCCTTTCAACATTGCATAAAATTTGACAGAATGTGCATTTTAAAATATCCATAATACAATGCAAAATAAAAAATGCTTCCTCCTACAGATCTGGGTTTAAAGGTGGAGAAAGGAAAATTAGTGGTAAGAATGAATGGATGAGAAGTGTGGAGGACAAAAGACAAATCTGAGCCCTAGAATTCTCTACCATACTTTGCTTTCTCTGAAGGAAATTGCTCTCAAGCTGTTTTAGAAAAGGAATGTTCTGGTCGTCTTGGAAACCACCAATGTGTTTCTATGTCTTACACATTACTTCCACTAAGTATGTCATTGCTTTGTTGAATTGATAACATTCCTGTTGTCACCCGTTTCAGAAATCCTCATAGTGAAGCAGACTTTCTAGTACATTCATGAACAAACATTCTTTGACGGCCACCTCTGTTACAGTCACTGCTGATGGTACTAGGGCTGTAATTTAAAAAAAACAAAACAAAAATCCATTACTGTCGAGAGCTTGGCTGCTAACCAAAAGGTCGGCAGTTTGAATCCACCAGCCACTCCTTGAAAACCCTATGGGACAGTTCTACTCTGTC